TTCTGTTTCTTCGAGGTTGCTTCTGTCCCCATCTCCCTTGGGCCCCCAAACCCACAAAGCTTTACCAGCTCTGTCTTCCAGAATAAACCGCCTCCCTTCTCCCTGGGGAAACGCTTACTGCTTCTAGGCCGCTGTTAGGAGACAAAAGGGCCAAAATCTAATTTGCACTACAGTTATGAGGACTGATAGAGCCACATAGCAACAATCTGAAAGGGCGGTGTTAAATTTCTTAGCCCAAACGGTCTTTAGCAATCTCCTCATGTGGTTTTCTGAGATTTTGTTGTAGATCTTAGGTGCCATTTCAATACGTGAAGCAGATCAGTATACAGGTGCTGTGGGTGAGAGGGAATCATTGTCTGCTTTTTCAGCTGACTTTGGAACAATGCTTGTAAACCACGGATTACCTGCCTCATTCTCAAGGAAACTCAGGCTCAGGTAAAGGAAATGATTGGTCCAAGGTCACAGGGTCAGACAGTGACAAAGCTGGGACTTGTCCCCAGGTGCCCTGACCTCTTATCAATGCTCCTGTCCCTGCCCTATAACCCCCCTGGGTGTTCATGTCTCAGCCCCAATTCTGGCCATGAGCTCCAGGAACGGTTCCCACCAGCTCTGCCATCTTGGTGACACAGACAAGTATCATCACAGCCCATGCGTGTAGCCATCCTTCCCTGTGTCTTTCACTGCTCGGGAGCTTTCCTCTGCCCTGCTAGAAGTCACCCCTTTTCCACTGCTGCTCACTTTTTTTTTTCTTGCTAATTTTTGATTGCTGCTGAGAACAAATGCAAAAAGAAAGGCAGAGACACATTTCAGATTTTGCTCACTGCGTGTTTTCATTTTTAATTAAATAAGTCAAGTAAGCCATCAAGTGATGGTTCACATTCTGTTCCACAAAGCAGACCCTTACTGGCGGTGGCCCCTGTGTTTCCAGGAGACGGCAGATGGCAGCCATGGCAAGGACATCTGGGACATAGGACAGCGAGGGGGCTGGGGGCAATGTGGCTGAGCAGAATGGGCACTACATACACACGTGTGGACACACATGGCCACAAAGGGAGTGTCCCATACCACGTGGCCATGAAACGTGACACAGGGCTGAGATCTTGGCAAAGAGTTTGTGGGATCCAGGAGGGGGCAGGGGAGCCAGGCAAACTTTGCCTGAAACAGATGAGATGGAGATTTCTGGGGTGCCCAGTTCAAGCCCAGTGGTAGAGGAAGCAGGGTCTTTTCCCCAAAAAAATACTTGGGTGTACATTGTGAGCTGTGCCCACGGGGATGGCAGCGCGTCCATATCCTTGAAACACACACCTCACTCGTCCCCCAGGCAGAGTCATGGAATGACAAAGGACCCCAGACCAAAGCATCTGGATCTCCCAGCTCTTAAGACTGAATTTGCCAATTCTGCTTCCTCTTTTTGAGGCTTAAAGGGTGGCTTCCACGATTCCTGAAACTGTGGGCAGCTGAGAGGGGATGTGGCCGCATTCAGGAAAACATTCAGGAAGCCTTCTGCCTCTCAACCAGCTGGACCACAGCCCGGCGATCTCCACTAGCAAACCCACCAACCTGGGACCCTTGGAGCTCAGTGGATGCTCCTTCTACTTTGTGCAGATGGGCAACCCCTACTTACCCCTACTTGGCTTCTGCAGATGCATTTCCCTGTGCCCACCCTCCTTTCTTCCTGCCCCAGATAGCCATCCCTTCGGGACCTGCCTTTGCTTTCAGCCTTGGGGACACGGCCATCTGCTCTTCTGGTCCTCTCCTTCATAATCCAGGGCCCAGTGAAGGGCAGGCCGTACGGTCAATTAAAACAGGACCTAATCTGGGACCAGGGCTGGAAGAGACCTTTGGGGTCAGGACCAGACCATCTGATGCTTACCTCGCCAGGCCAAGCGCCCATCTCCTGGGACAGGGATCCCCTGACTTCCTGCTAGAACTTGCTCCATCATCAGACAGGACAGGGGTGGTGTGGAAAGACGCTACTCTAATGGGTTGGGTGGGCCCTCTGCTCTCAGGGGTCCTGTCAGCAGCTGCCCCATTAGACGAGCTCCTGGCAGAAGCTTCCAGGCTGAGGTTACTGGCAGACAGGGAGCCAATCTTCATTAAACATTTCTTTCTATTCATTTAGTTATTTTCAAGTATATGTATCACATAAAGGGACCAAAGGCTAATTTCGTTCATGTCCTTCAACCTTAGTAAGAACTTGGTGATAATGTGCAGTGATGTGGTATGGGGAGGAGGAGGGCCACAGAGCTGAGAATCTGCTTCTTTTTTCCGCTCTGTGGGGACTCAGGAACCCTGCTCCCAAAGACCCCTGCCCCCAACCTGGCGCCCTTATCCCCTCTAGCGTTTACCAACAAGGCCAGAGGAGAAGCCAGGAATAGGCAGCTGCGGTAACAGCCTGTGGGTGTTAAGACACTGCCCTGTCTCACTAAGCCCTGGAATGTTCTGAACTATTTATACAGGCCAGGCTAAAGAGGTCTTCATCAGGAAAAAGAAAATGAGTAAACATTCATTCCTGAATGGGACTCTTGTTCTGGAGAAGCTGGCAGCCCCAAAGGTGAGGCCTCAGCTGCTCCCTCCATCTGCAGGCAGGTAGACACGGTGCAGGGGGTGGGGAGGGGGACACTAGAGCTGGCAAGAGCAGAGATGCCTGGGCTGGGCTAGGCGACAGGGGAGACACTTGCCCCAGATGGGCCACCTTCCTCGTCCCAGCTGCGTGCTGAAAACCCCAAATGCATACCTGAACCAGGTCCCCCAGAGTGTAAAGTCAGTAGTCACCCCACCCTGTCCTTCCCCAAACCCCAAGAGTTCCCAGGCGCTGCTGAGTACTCTCTTGAGTTGTGTCCCGTTTCAGACACCAGGGCAAAGGGAAATACAGCAGAAAGGGCCTTCAATGTCGCATCATCAAAACTACAAGAAAAAAACAAGGTACCTCCTTAAGCAATGCACCAAGAACAGTCCAACACCCCCGGCCCTTGGGCTTTGCTCTTCTCTTGTATTTTGAATCGTCTTCTTGGAGTGTCCTCCATGTATGGCACGAGTCAATGGTTTCTATTACTGTTTCTCGTCTTTCTTGATTTGGGTACAGCTTTGAGTCCCTGCAAATAAGGTATTTTACGTCTCTTTGTCACAAAATAAATAAATAAAGTCAACTTGTAGTGTACAAATTGTCAATGTCCTGAGAAGTCCCAAAGGTCCATTCTCAGCACTGTCCTCAGAGCTCCGGGGTGGAGACCTTGGCTTGAGGCACAGGAAGAAGTCTGCTGTCCACACCAGGGCAGGGGTGGGGGGGGGCAAGAAGAGCCCCAGAGAGAGGTGACTGCCTCCATCCCTGCCCCAGCCCCCACCAACCACAGGTGGGACTCAGTGCAGGGAGCAGGGTGGGGTAGGGGGAGGAAAACCCAGCACTTCTGGGCTCACCAGAAGGCTCTTGGGTCTCACTCTGTCCCAGAGTCAAGTTTTCAGGGCTGGAATCCCTTTGGACCCCAAATTCGAGCCCCTGCACCACTTATTCTGGGACTGGAAAGCCAAGACTGGAGACATCCTTGAATGACTATAGTCCACGGTGATGGAGACCCAGCAGCTCCAATGCGGTCATGGGCACAGACCCCACAAAATGGCTACGGTCCTCAGCGTCTCAAACAGCAGCTTCTGGCCAGGACACAATCCCCATGGCAGCACCAGCTGGACTCAGATCCTGTTTCCCTTGTGTCCAAATTACTCAGACGGAAACTCAGCCCTCTGGGTTTGAAAACAGGACAGATCTGACAGAGGAGTTGTCCAGGAAATCAGAAACAGCCCTAGTAAACTCTGCAGCTCTTCAAGGTCTGAGGAAGACCAAGTTCTGCTCCCCAGTGTGGGGACATTTGCTGCTTGGCCACAGGCCCCTGACTCCCCCCCCAACCCAGGAAATTCATTTGGACTTTTGAGATGTTCAAATCTGGCCTTGTCCTGGGAAAGGGCGAGAGCTAATTTATGTTGCTTCTCGACACACAGCAAAGAACCCAGGTGGTTTCTGAGATTCATTTCGAGCGAGGCTCAAACAGAAAAGCCCATGGGGCACTGTAGGCTGCCATGTGGCCGCCTAGGCTCTGATCCTTCCTCTTCCTCCTCCTCCTCTCCCTCCAGCGGGAGCCAGAGTGCTCTCTGCTGGTCCTCCCAGCCCCCTCATGCCAAGACTGCTTCCAAGCTGCACTCTGGCAATAAGAAAATAAAAAAACACAGACACAAAACAAGATACCAAACTATAAATAACTTAAAAAAAAAAAAAAAAAACCCAACAAGTAGAACACCCAGCCTATCCCAAGTTTAGCAACCCTCTTCCCAGAGCCCTGAAAGTTGGAATTCCAGACACTAACCATGCAACCACGGTGACCAACCACGAGGCTGACCTCTGTACCCTGTCTTCCCAGGGTAGGTGGGGTATCCTGATATGACTTCTCCCCCAAGAGCTCTCTGTACTCTCTTCTGGGCCCTGCCCCACATGAGGCCTGGCAGAAAATGGCAGGACTTGCCAGCTGCCTTTTGCCTCCAGTCAGGCCTGGGGCAGCCTTCACACAGGGTCATACTCTCAGGGATCCAGCCCAGCTGGGACAGGGTATTAGGGCTGCAGTCATGTGAGGCCTGGCCACCCCATTTCAAAACATCCTGCCTGCCAGCAGGGAGGACAGGAATGGACCAGAGGAGATAGCCAGGGGAAACCAAGGTGGGCAGGGGCCGCAGACTCGGCCCTTCTGGGTCTACCTTTTAGTTCAAACCTGGTCAGGAACAGGGTCATGGCCCATGACCGTGTTTCCTTCCCCATCCCCAGATAATTCTAAAAATGTAATGAAAGGCTCCTCATTAGGGGTGTGATAGTTAAATTCTGTGGGAATAAAGCAACAGGGCAGCTTGCCTGTGTATGTGTGTGTGGATTTGGATATCTATGTTGTTTGGGTCTATGTGTGGTATACATAGAGGCCTTATTATTTTTACACATGTGTGTTTTATAGTCCCACGTAGGGCTGATTTCATAACCGGTACAGCTCTTCCATTTGTGAAAATATCGAATCGTTCTTGGTTGAAAAGCCCAACTGCCATCCCCTGACGTTCTGGGCTGTTTCAGTCCCACCCCAGGGATCCATGCAGATTCCACACTGGATGGTGTAGAAATCCAGAAACTGAACTTTGAAGGCTGAGTACAACGGGAGGGCTGCTGTCGACTTGTCTGTGCCCACAGCCCCTTCCAGATCAACACTGGGACTCTGGCCCACAGGGTCTATAGGCATTTATGCATGTTTCTTATATTTTGTGTGTGAGAGAGAGGGAGACAAGAGACAGAGAAAGGCTTGTTGTCAATAGCTCTGGGCCTGGGTGCCTACTCAGGAGACGGCAGCTCCTTAGGTCCTGGCCTAGCGGCCCTCGGGGACAGGCACTGTCCCGCTCTCGGTGAGAGACCCCAGGCCACAGGCTGCGGCACGGGGGGAGCCTACTGCTCCATAAAGGCTGCCTGCCCGGCTGGAGGCCGCCCACCCGCCGGCCGCCCTCTACGGAAGCCACCAGCTCACCGCTGGCCGCCGTAGGAGCGAGGCAGGCAAGGGCGGGTCTTTCCCAAGGAGGGGAGTGCGCGTGCGCGGGCCCGGGGCGCCTACGTGACCCAGAAGGTTCCGCGCTCCTCCAGCAGGCTGAAGGAGCGGTTGGTGAGCGAGGCGGCGTCCCGCGCCAGCCGGTAGCCGAAGAGGCGCATGGCGGGGCCGCAGGCGGCCTGCACCACCTGCGCCAGCTTGAAGGGCATGCCGAAGCGCCACTTCTCGAACTGCTCCGAGGAGTTCTTCTGCGTGGAGTAGATGCCGTTGCCGTCCTGCGCCGCCTGCGTGTTCCTCTGGATCCAGTCCTCCACCTGCGGCGTCAGGGGGATGCCGGCGAAGCGGTACATCTCACGCGCCTTCTGCAGCGGCCAGCGCGCCACGTCCTCGTAGCGCACGAGCATGTAGCGGCCGCGCAGCCAGGCGGGCTGCCGCAGCCCCAGCTCGGCCGACAGCCGGATGCTCTCGCAGTTGCCCCGCAGCCGCTGCACCTCCTCCTCCCCCAGGCGCGCCTGCCCCTCCGCCAGCCACTTCTTCCAGCCCTCGTACTTGCCCGCGAAGGCCACCATGCGGGAGGCCAGCACGGCGCGCGGGTCCCGCACCAGCTGGATGACGCGCAGGTCCAGCCGCGGGTCCTCGGCCAGCGGCTGCAGGAACTCCAGCTGCCGGATGCGCACGGCCTTGAGGGCCATGTGCTCCTTGCGGCGGCAGGCCTCGGCGGCCAGCGTCACGTTGAGGGGCCCGCAGCGGCGGTTCTTGCAGTGGTACTTCTCGAAGACCTTCTTGACGAAGGGCGTGCACACGGGCTCCTCGCAGAGCGAGCGGCTGGAGCCGCGGCGGAACATGAACTGGGTCAGGTGGTCCTCGGGCAGCGGGCTGATGAAGTGCTCCAGCACGTACAGGTCGCACAGGAACAGCTGCTTGAGCACATCGCGGTAGACCAGGGCCGAGCCCGCGGCACTGGCGCCTCCAGACTCGAAGGACACCGTGCGCTCGATGTGCCACAGCGGCTCGAAGAGGTAGAAGATGTTGCCCTGCTGGTTGAAGAACTCACCCACGAATGAGGAGCCGGTGCGCGTGGTGGCCATAAGCAGCACGTGGCGCCGAGGCCCGGCCCCCGGGGGGGGCGGTGGCCCCTCGTCCCCAGCTGCGACCGGGGCCTCAGCCCCGTCCTCTTCCAACGGCTCTACACCCAGCTGCAGACTGAGGTTTCGGAGGCGGCCCTGCAGCTGGGTGAAGGCCGAATCGAGCTCACTCAGGGACAAGAGGGACGCATTGTCGGCCAAGATCAGGGCTGGGTCAGTGCTGTTGGCATCAGCCAGGGGTTGCGGGATCTGCTTCAGCTTGTCTGACACCCTAGGAGGACAAAGGGAAATCGGAGTCAGCGAGTGACTAGGGACTCCATCCCTTATGCACCCCGAAGCCGACTCCCGGGCTGATCACCCAGAGCCTATCTTAGCTGGGTCTGCCTGGAAGCTGACTTGGAGGCAAGGATTTGAGGGTTGTTAAGTAGTTTATTTCGGTCATGATCTCAGGAGTACAAGCAGAGAGATAGGAAGTGAGGTGGGGGAGAAAAAGAGGTCAAGGGTGATCAGGCTGTCCCTGGGGGCAAACCAATTCCCCTGGGGCCTCCTGGGAGACCGTGCAGAACACACAGGAGGATTCTCTTGCCCAAGGGACGTGAAAGGCCAGCTGGTGTTGGCTTCGGGTGTTAGCTTAACAGTGTGCAGGTAGAGAGGAAGTTTGCTGGTGGAAAGCTGCAGGGGCTTGCAGTAGGACCCTGTGGGCACGAACTGCAACAGTCCACACTGAGTGGCACAGTGCCTTCTACACAGCCCAATTCCTCATCTATCCATGGTGGCTACTTTCTTGCAGGGTGTCGTGTTAAGAAAACAGGTCTAAGAAATCCTTCTGTAGCTAGCAGAGACACAGCAGAGACCCGGCACACACTAGTATACTGCCAACCCCAGGAGGGAAACATTCCCAGTGTAGCCGAGGTAAGTACGCACCCCTGGAATTCAGCAGTATACAACCTGGCCAGCTGCACATGGCAGTCCTGCCCACCAGGGTATGTGTACCAGCAACCCCTGCCTTTCCATGGGCTCACCCTCACCCATGGCTTCGGCTGGTGTAGTAGATGTGCTGTTAATGCGAGGCATCATCCTAGCCAAGAAGGAAATTAGCAATAATTGCCATGGTCAGCAAGTACTGGATACCAACTGCATGCCAGGCACTGAGCTAAACGTTTTACATTTCCTAATTTCATCTTTATAAGGAAAGCCCCATCGTTAGCTGTATTTCATGGAAGAGGAACTTAGGACACAGAAAAGTGAATTTGTCCAGGCCGTCCCTACTAGAAAGGGCCTGAATCAGGACTGCAATGCAGGTTGCCTGAGTCCAGAGCCCCAGTGTCACCCCTGTCCATTCCTGGGGACCTGTGCAGGACCATTGCCTGGGCACAGGAGGGGCCTGTGATTACCAGCTGAAGGACAGCCTTTGTAGGTCCACAAAGAGCCCTATGGCTACCTCTTTGCCCCATCCACCCCTCCCTGATAAGGATGAATTTTGCGCACTTGTATTCCTCACCTTGATATGATTTTATTTTCCTTTTCAATGAAGACAAAAACCACCACCACAAAAGCCAGGAAAAGAGCATATTTGCTCCTCATCCTCAGGCTGTGCAGAAAGTCCCGGCAGTCCTGGGGTAAAGCGAGTCCTTTCTCCATGGGGAATGGTGGGGCTGTGGGCTGTCAGCTCAGCAGCATGAATCGGGATCTGGCTTGCCGTCTTCAGGTGGGGGACACCCTCGTCCTGTGAAAAGACCTCTGGTCAGGACAACCTTGTCTGGAGGTGAAGAATGAAGAGTTTTCCCACCCAACTTTTGAGGGCCATGGCCCGGCTTAGCAGCCAGAATCCCAGACCCACTCTCCCAATGGATGAGGTGAAATCAGGTCATTTAAAATGCTAATCAGCCGTTTAATTCATTCATCCCACTTCCATCAACTTATCCTTTGACCTCACACATAATTCAAGGGCAAGGAGATGGAAAAGAATGTTCCTTGAACTAGAAATGTTTGCAACAAGACAAGACTACAAATACCTAAATAAAAAATGGAGATGGACCTATCATAATGATATATATACACATCTACATGAGATCCTTCACCTGGGTCCTTCCAAAATCCCTCACATGGCCTCAGCCTTCGCGACATAGCCCCTCCTGGAGCAGCCAACCCCTACCTAGGTTAGGGTTCCCCCGGTCCCACCACCATGCAGACTCCCATTAGCATCTGAGACTGTCATAAGGTGAGCTGACTTGTAAGATCTGTTCACCGCTGATCATCCTTTTGTGGCGTAAGGGGGTTTTGTCCAGGCCCCTCATTATCCTTTAGCACTAGGCCAGGCACACAGGAGACACCCGAGCATGGCTGCCGAACAACAGAAGGAATAAAGGAATAGATGAACCTCACCGGAAGCTATATACATTTTTAATAGCTGAGCAAATAAAGCATTCCCTGAGGAGCCCATTTCTTGCACTCATCTGCGCAATCCCACACACCTGTCCTGCATCATGAACCCCAGATTCCAGCACAACACGGCCCCCTCCAACTCCATCCAAAAGTCTATGCGTTCTCCATGAGGACGGTCATTCATGGGATACTGTTTGCTCCAAGTGTGGGGAAGGCTTGTGACCTGGGTCAGTGCATCCCGGATCAGCTCTCTTGTGGAAAAGATTTCCCCACAGGAAGCAGCTGCCGTGGACGAGAGAGTAAGAGGGCAGGAAGGTAGGTGCCGGGGTCACACCTTCATCACACAATGGAAGTGACTAGAGGGACAGCCAGCGCATCTGTCCTTTGGGGAAAGCAGTGGGCTAGGGGCTCTGCAATACCAGAAGGCAGATGTGGAAGCTGGCAGCAGAGTGGTGGGCCCCGCTGTGCAGGGCAGAGGGGTGGTGAGGCTTCCTGAGTGTGGGTGACTGAGGAGGGGCTCAGGAGGAAGGAGAGGAGACCTGCAGAGACAGCTCCAGGGCAACTAGAATATTCCTGCCCCTTCCTAATTCTTCTGGGCCTTTTCCCACATATTCATTAAACAAGGACTCCGTAAGCACCCACTCTGTGCCAGCCTCTGGTCTAGGTACTGGGGATACAGCAGCCAGCAAGCAGAGCCGGTCCCTGGCCTCATGGAGCTGACACTCGGGTTGGAAGGGCCAACTGGAATGATCTGGGTGGCTGAGATTCATTGAGTGCTTACTGCTCTGGGCCATATGCCATGCTAAGCGCTTGATTTGCATTTCCTCCTCCGACCCTTACAGAGTCTGGTTAGGCAGCAGTTATCCCATTTTACAGGTGAGGAAACGGAGGCTGACGGGTTAAGTAACTGTCCAAGGTTCCCCAATAGGAGCCCTCATCTCATCATCCCTCCAAGACCCAGGTCATCTGAGCCTCCCAGCGCTCCCCAATCACCCCCACTATAGCATATATGGTTGGGCTTTCCAGCTGATGGTCTGCCTGCCTGTCCTCCCTTCCCAGAATCCGAGCTCCAGGAAGCAGGGACCAGCATCTAGAACGGCACCCAGCATATGCCAGCTGCCCAGCAAAACACAGGTGAGCAAACCTGTCAAAGCTGACGCCTGGCTCAGTGCCTGGCAGGCTGTCAGTGTGAGTTTGCGGAACACCCCATGGGGTACGAGGCCATCCATCTCTCTGGAAGGTGAGACTCAATGCTGAGTCTGCAGAGCAAAAGCGATTAAAATCCTGACTTCCCGCCCTCTCATCTCTTGGCTGGAGAGTTGCATGATGTGAGGGGAAGCAAAAGGAGCTGGGACCAGGAGTCCTGGGTTCTACTTCTTTCTGTTTGTCTACCATGCTGTGTAGCCTTGTAGGAGTGACTTAACTTTTCTGGGCCTCAGTTTCTTTACCCGTAGCATGGAAAACCTGTACATAAGGCTGCCATGAGGAATAGTATCTGGGGCACGGTAAGTGCTCATTAACTACGATAGGGGAGAAACGAGGGGAGAAAAGGCAGGGTGGGTGGAGGGAGTTGCTCTCACTGTCCTCTCCCTTCTGGGTCTTTGGGAAGATCAGAAGTTCAGCCTCCTCGATGATGAAAAGCTCCCGCACCTTCTTCTCCCCTCCTCTGCAAGCACTGTTTCTATTTTTGAGTTGCCATCCCAGTCCCCTCACCCCCCTGAATAATATAGGGTTCCTAAGAACCTTCCCAGCATTGCCCTAAAAGGAAGAAGCAATGGTAAAAAACTCTTGACAGGAAACACAAGGCAGGCTGCTGGTTCCTTCGCCCTGGGGCAGGGCGAAGGAACCAGCAGCCTGCCCTTAGCCTTAGCTCTGGAGGCCCAGTGGAAGGTGGGCAGGCAGGTGAGGGAGGTTTAGAGATCCCAGGAGCAATGTGGGAGGTCCTCAGACCAAGGAGCTGGGAGAGGGCCACAAGGGCCAGGAGGTCACAGGGTCACCAGGGAGGAAGATGGGGCCAAGATGGGAGTCATGTGGCAAAGCTCCCAGCAGAGGCCCTCTCTAAGAAGTGGGTCTATGACATCTGTCAAGGCTAGTCAAACCTCTGTGATGCTCTCTCCCATAACCCAGGGTGCATTCTTCCTTCCTTCGCTCATGGTGAGAATGAAACATTCATGCTTCTCTCGGCAGATGTCCCCTGCCAGTGGAGTACTCAATACCTTTCCTCCCCTGATACCCAGCAAGCGGACTGACAGCCAAAGGAAAAGGTGGGATGCCAGCCGAGGTCCCATTTCCAGGGCACCGGGGTCAATGGGGAAGAAGGCCAGAAGCACGGGCCAGCCCAGCTCTGCCAGGAGGCAGCAGAGAGTGGGACAGCTGCCCTTGGTCCAGTCATCCCCAGTGCTCAGCTCTGGAGCCCTCCCTGACCACCAACCTCTCTGGAGACCATCTCCCCTCCCCCCAACACTTCCCTTCTCAGCATCTTGCTTCATTTCCTTCCTGGACAGAAATGTACTGGTTTCTTGCCAAATTCAACCACTGGCGCGTAACTTCCATGACAGGAGAGCTTTGTCCGTCTGTTCCACCCCTGTATTCTGTGCCCAGAATCCCCGTGCCCAACTCTGTCTGCATGGGGCACAGAGCAGATGTTCAAGAATGCTTGTCGGATGAATGCACTTATGCCTTTTCCAAAGCATCTGGCCCGGCGGGAGATGCTCACTCCTTCTAAGTTGGTAGGACACAGGAAGAAGGAATAGCAGCTGTTCCCTAGATGAGTAAACCACGTGTGTGCTTACGGGTGTGTGCTCCGAGTATATGCCCTGAGTGTGTGCTGCAGGCAAGTAACTACAAGTGTGTACCATGGGCAAAACTTCACACTTGGGGTTTCAAACATCGGGTCTCTCGAATTATCACTATCAATCCGGGATGTCATTTTGAGAATGAAGAAACCAAGCCCTGGGGCTTTCAGTTCAAGCCCCTACAGCGATGTGCTAATGATGGGAGGAGGGCAGAAAAGCCCCAGGGGTATTCCAGACAAACCTTAGCGAAGGAATAAAAAGAGAGTAGGCTGGGCTAAGGCCCCAACTCTACGCACCAACCTCCCTATCCTCCTCTCCCCTTAGGGGCCTTTCTGGCCAGGCCTCCCCGCTGGCCCGCGAGGGACCCCCACTAGACAACAGTTTTCTACTTGGATGCCTCCCCTAAGGGAAGGTGGGGTCCCAGAGTCTGCTGGGAGCAGAGCTCTGATAAGCGACGAGCCCTGCCAGACATTGCATCAGGCAGCAAAACTCCACTCCCCTCAATTGCTAGGGCCCAGAGCCACGGGGCCGTCCTTCCTCCTCAAGATTGCTCACACTCCAGAGCTCCAGCTTCCTCTCCCAAGAACAAACTCCTCTAGGATCTCCTTAGGGGCATGGGCCCAACCCAGAAGAAGCAGCCAAAGGTAAAGGTGTGTCTCACCTGAGAGGCTGTGGATGTCCAAGAACTTGTGAGAAGCTGTGGGCCACAATCACGAGGTGGACCAGGGGCCAGAGGGCCAGCCTGGTGGGGGTGGGGCTGCACCAGCTCCACCTGGAACAGACCCCAGCTGCCCCTCAGTCCTGTTTTGCTCTGTGGGGATAAGGGGAACACACCCTACCCCCATTTGAGAGTCGCTCTATCAGGGCCTGCTCAGCCCTGTGAGCAAAGCATCCTGTGTGAACCCCAAAGCCAATCAGTGCATGAAATACAGGGTCCCAGAGAATAGTCCCAGGCCTTCCAGCACCTCTCACACCAAGCCCGGGTCCCTGGGTGGGGTGGGTGCTGACCCTGTGCTCTGGGCTTTGCCCAGTCAAGGTCCGCAGTGGAAGCTGGTGTCCAGGATGTCCAAAAGAATAAAGTGTCCTTTCTACCACCCCCATGGACCCTGAAAAAAGATGGCTCCTGTCCTAACACTGTAGAATGTCAGCACCTGGAAATTTTCTGACCTACCTTTACTCATTTTTTTATCTATAGAAGTTCAGGCTCGGAGAGACCAAGGCATACCAGTGGATGATGACAAAACTCCAACTACTACGTGGGTCTCCTGTCTCCCAGGTTAGTGATGGCCCTGTCCTCCTTTAACACTCTCTTGTAGCTTAGCCTACTTAAAAAGCTTCATGACAGGGGCACCCGGGTGGCTCAGTTGGTTAATCGTCTGCCCTCCATTCAGGTCATAGTCCCAGGGTCCTGGGATTGAGCCCCACGTCTGGGCTTCCTGCTCAGTGAGAAGCCTGCTTCTCCCTCTGCCCTCTGCCTGCTCTTCCCCTTGCTCGAGCTTGCCCTATCTCTGTCAAATAAACAAGTAAATAAAACCTCCTTATAGGGATGGCAAATACACCGCGGTCACACCACCACTCAGCAGTCCTGTGCCTAAAGCAGACATCACTAATCAATCAATATCCTCTCTGCAGTTTGAGACTCGATGTAGCCTCATAGGCCTTCTCAATGCAGCACCAATCCATTAGCATTGTCCTGTGAGCAAAAACCGATTTGCCCTCCCAACTTTACAGGATCCTTACTGGCTACCAAATGAAACTCCTCACCACCTCTTAGTCTGGCATTCTACACTCTAACCTCACCGTGCAATGCCAGCCCAAACTCTTACATAAACTCTCCACTCAAGCACATGTGCCTTGTACACCAATCCTCTGAGCCTTCCATCCAGCCCATGAAGCCCTTTACTGAACAAAACACGCCAACTATAATCCATGGGAAGGTTACTAAGAACAGAGAAGGCATCAAACATTTGCAAACCACCCCCCCAAAATAGCTTTTTCAGAAGAACTGTTAGGGATATAAGGTTCCTACAGCCCCACCCTTCTCCCTCACGTGGCCTGTGCCTTCCTGAAGGGGAGCGGAGGCGGAGTTACGGAGAGCTTAGGAAATCTCCCAGAACCGCTGCCAATCCGTTCCACACCAGGGCTGGCAAAGATCTTTACACGGCTAATTTTATATTATTACTCACATGCCTTTATATGTTTT